AATTATATTTTCAAACGTAAACAAAAGCTTGTAAGGGATGTCGGTTGATGTCGCTTTGACGTGTTAAAATYTCGGTCCGCGGMTGAACCTTCAGACAATTTCTTTGCATGAGTTTCTGAAAGACCTATTGYWTGACTGACAAGAGGATTGCGAGAAAATATGCCGTTACATTAATCAGCGAACCTACCTGGCTCAATACAGATATCTTTGACAGCCTTAATTTGTTGTCCACTCAATGCTTTAGGGTAGATTTGTACGCAAGAAATTGAACCACGGAATGGTCTTCTTGAGTTTGGTCTTCCGCCGATATACACATTACCAGTGTTGGTCTTCGGGCGTATCCACCCTCGATTTCTTGAAACTAATGGTCGACCGTTATTCCACAAGGTCACTAGGCCACGCCGCTGGTCATAGGTAATGCTCATATAATTCCATTGTTTTGGTTTTATGCCTCGCCGACTTTTGACTGGACGAACAGGCTTGCCGTTTCGGCGTCGCAACAAGACCTGAAATGTTTGCCGAGTAGGCAAACTAACTTTGACTCCACCCTTARAGTATTCTAAAATTGTTCCACTCCCAATTGGTTTCACCCAGAAAATAATAGTGAAGGAGTTRGGTGTATCGAGTCCTCCCTTCTTATTTGGAAGTTTAACATAGCTGCCTGGTCTTCCTTGGAATCTTGTGGATCCCCCGCGTTGACCGTTAGGTCCTCGGCCTGGTCTAACCCCGGTAAGTTSACCAGTTGGATTGTTTACTGGTCCAATATCTCTGGCTTGTATTTTCTCCGTCAATGGGTAGATTCCAGAAGCCTTGGGGAATCCTGTTGATTATTAAAAATACAATAATCAGTTTTTTGCTACACACAAAAAAAACACCGAACTCATTTCTAAGGAAACAATATAAAACTTACTTGGACGCTCGGTTGGCTTTGTTTGCGATTCTGGGTTACCATTAGAATCTTAAAGAAAAGACATTGATTACAATTATAAAGACGAAATGTTCATATTTTCTCTTGTCTATAATTAACAAATTGTACACGCGGTTTTGAATGTCCAAATCTACGAAAATCAATCCTTTGTTTCAACTGAGTGCGTGCGAGAGATGTGATTGTGCGCGCGGATTGACGACACTGGGTAAACGCACGGGTCTTAATTTCTTCTTACACACAAAAACGTTTTTSTGAATACTTTAGTAGGCTGTCTTTACGTCTTCCGAGTGTGCGCAGCGCGTTTCTCCCTAGTGTCGCTATTGACACACTCTTATCAGCCAATCAGCGCGCGAGAACTTTGTGCTTAAAATAGCACACAACAAGTTGTTGATTAATAAATAGCATTTAGTGAATACAATACATTATGTRTACTKTAGCAACTTTTGAACAAAGTCTCACCATGGCACGCTTTCTTGCTGATACGAGAAACAAGTGAATCCAAGTAATTCATRTTCGTTAGATAAAGATGTTGTGGATCTTTCGCGACAGTCAATAACTGATGTTTAGCACGTTTAACTGCAGGTCCCACACCAACGGCGSTTACGACCACTTTCAAAGCAACTAGCTGTTGTATAGGTTTCAGCACTTTGTCCGCCGATGGCCCATCCACGAGAATAATCGCTGCTTTCTTCCGATATTTAGGTGAGTTCAAGAAAAGACGYTGTTTTGCAAACTTCAATGCCTTTCCTAAAAAGGTTCCACCTTTAATATACCTTAAATAAATTAAAAAATTGGTCACTTCAGGAAATTCTCAAAAATAAGATTACTCCGTTTACMAGAGGTTAGAATTTTCTCTTTCTAACCGTTTACCATGTCTGTCCARCGGCCTAAAACTTGGCAGAACTTGGTACCCGGGAGGGAGGCGGGAGGGAAGGGGGTGCGAGGGGGAGCGAGGGGGGAGCGAGGGGGAGCGAGAGGGGATCGAGGGGGAGCGAGGGCTCCGGGATAAAAGTACCGGGGGATGCTCGTCGGAAATTTTCCAAAAGACCCCTAAAAGATCCCGGGAGTCTTGAAAATAGGACGTGGTTGACTGATTTTTAACCACTAAGAGATTGCACAACAAATATTTTTCAATTAAATCTGTTCCAATGATAAAAAAAAAATCAATATCGATGCGCTCTTTCTCTTCGCCCTCTTCTTTTCACCCTAAAATATTCCAGAAAATGCAAATATCCAGTAACTTCAGATTGGCACCATAAAAGATTCCCAATCACGGGCTTGACTTCAAGGAATTCAGGACGCAATKGGGTCAATTTGMGCAATATTTGMTAATTTTAGTTAGTACTCACTTCACTCTTTGATCAATGAGTTTATTGAGCCTTCGCTTATTTAGTGCTTCGTTAAATCCAAAAGCCAGTTTAGGGCGTGTTGCAAATACCACTACAGCAGGTCGGACGAATCGTATTCCGACTATGAAATGGCGTGCAATCTTCTTCACAAACGTTTTAAATTTCTTAAAGTTCTTTGAACCAACACTACTGGAAGCATCAATGACGAAAACCAAATCCAATGTCGCTCTACAAACTATTCAAACAGAAAAATAGAAACAGTTGTAAGAATATGGGTACAGGGTACAACGGGATGTAGATGTGTTTAATTTATCTTGACTTACCTTTGTTATAAGGCTTGGTGATTGGTGGTCTTGTTGGCGTTGTCTTTGGGGTGGTGGGGCCAGATCTAGAGGTCACCCCTGGTTTTGGGGTGGTGGGGCCACCAGGTCCTCCAGGCCCTCCTGGGCCACCTGGACCACCTGGTCCTCCTGGACCTCCTGGACCTCCTGGACCTCCTGGCGTTCCTGGGGCAGCTCCTAGAATTAACACCCAAAAAATGTCACACACACACACAACCAACAACAAGAAACAAAGAGCAAACGAAAATTGTGGTCTATTTTGAAGTTGCTTGGAAAAACTCAGTACTATTCCGAAATCAATAACAGCAAAGCCAGCTCACTTAGGAGACTTTTTAATAGGAAGAATTATATTGTTTACATTGATTCACATGGAAATAAAGCACGCATTACATGGAATAATATTATACAATCACTTTTTCCGGCAATTTTGTGCYTCAAACTATGGATTATTGGTTGAAAACATTCAAATCTGTTRTGRTGATGCTTTCAAAACGATGTATTAATTTGTAACTCACGSGGAGAAATTACTACTATTCAACAAACTACATATAAATATGAAAAATACAACCAACAAAGATCTTTTAGAAATTACTACACTGATGTTGAAAAATTAATGATARCYAAGAAGTTCGAGATTGTTGGTGCTCTTGGTCTACAAGGTTTGAACCTCTCTGATTGAATATTCGCCGAGTAGCAATTTCTTGATGAAAATWATTCTTATATTTTTCTTGTTACTTACCTSTCTTAAAGCAAAGTCTTCTARCTATTCGTATCTGCAGAGGTGTAAGCGCCTTAGGATATATCTGAATACAAGCAACTTTACCACGAAGCCTTCGAGGATCTTTGCGCACTGCTCCAGTACGCAAAGTATAGTCTAATGGCACACGGAATCGAKTAACCTTCTTTCTGGCATATTCTTTTGCGTCGATAAATATCTTGACAAGACSAGTTTTTTGACTATAAGAAGCTGCAACAAACTTCCACTTGGGTTTCCTGRGCTTTTTGGGATACKYAATTCTAAGYGTTTCCTTTGGAGATGAAAAGCTTACACTCAATCCATTCTTTGTAGTATAGAATTTGATACCGACGCCTCGTGGATTTTTGTTTGCAAGGATTGGTCCTTTACTATTTCCAGGAAGGATGTAGGCAAGGACGGTGATTTCATCTGCTGGTTTTCTYYTTTTCTTTGGGAACTCTACAAAGCTGTCAGGTCGCCCTTTCAATAGAGTAGAGCCTCCGGGTTCATTCGATGGGCCTCGCTGGTATCTAACATTGCTAGTTCGACCTTTTGGATTCTTGTTAGGGCTGATATCTCGTCCCTTCATAGTAATGCTCAAAGGATARAATGCGAGAACGGGAGGCAGAACTATTATAATGGAGAAAAAATACCATAGATAAGTTAAGTACACTATTGACCTATTTTGTCTTACTTTGAATGCACATTAGATCCAGTGGCATAAAACAATTACTTTTTCTGGTAATTTCAGGCCATTGATAAGAAACCCCTGAACARTTTAGATTAGTATATGATGAAAAAATCGAATTACAAAAAATAAAAATGAATCAAAATTGAATAAGATTTTTCTTGATAATTCTTGTTTAGTGCCCGCGCGCATCCCATAGTTTCTAACTGAAAATAATATAGTACACGTTTCTTCCTACCTGACTTTAGGCAATATTTGCTAGCCAATCGTATCTGCAGAGGTGTGAGCTCCTTGGGATATATCTGAATACAAGTAACTTTACCACGAAGCGTATCTTTACCCACAGCTCCAGTACGCAAATCATAGTYTATTGGTACACGAAGTCGGCCAATCTTCTTTCGGGCAYATTCTTTTGCGTTGATAAAGATCTTGGCAACACSAGTTTTTCGATTGTAACTAGCTGCAATAAAGCTCCATKTGCGCTGTTTAATCTTKCTTGTAGACACAGTCATTGTACGTGGCTTCTTTGGAGATGAAAAGTTTACCTTCAATSCTTTCTTTGTAGTGTAGAATTTAATACCGACGCCTCGAGGATTTGCGTTGGCAAGGATTGGTCCTCTGCTGTTTTCAGGGTAGATGAAGGCAAGGACGGTGATTTCATCWGCTGGTTTTCTCTTTTTCTTTGGAAACTCTACAWAGCTGTCGGGTCGTCCTTTGAAGCGAATAGAACCTCCAGGTCGAAGGTATGGGCCTGGTTTGTATCGGACATTGCTAATTTTACCCTCTGGATTCTTGTTAGGGCTGATGTCTCGTCCCTTCGTATAACGGTTCAAAGGRTAGAATGCGAGAATGGAAGGTTTACCTTAAGTAATAAAAAACAAAGTATAGTTAAGCTTACAATTTAGTATATTTATAACCTTAACTAGTACCGATTTGCTTGAATTTTRAATCAGATGAGGAAAAAAGAAAATGCGCAGGCAGTGAATGCATGTGGGTAAAGCATGAAATAGAACAAACGTTTTGCATATTAAACAAAAAGCGAATAAATGCAAAATGAGTGAAGCATAAATGAAAAATTTGAGCAAGATTCTACACAGAAACTGCCATTCCAAATTCGGAAAATGGTTATAATTTGAAAATGTTCCAAGTTTCAAGGTTCATTTGTGTTGAGGCCGGAGAAACTAGATCAGATTTGTTGAGGACAGAACTTTATGCGGCGTCATCGAACGATCTTGAAGAGTCATAAAGAAGTCCTTGAAGTTCAACTGCAATTCCAGGATCATGCATGGCTTACCTGGCTTTTTAGTAGGTTTCGGTGTTGTTTTTGGGCCACCGGGTTTAGTTGGACCTTTTGAAGGTTTTGAAGGTTTAGTAGTTGGTTTTGCTGGTCCTCCTGGTCCTCCAGGACCTCCTGGTCCTCCGGGACCACCAGGTCCACCTGGTCCGCCAGGCCCTCCTGGTCCACCCGGACCACAAGGCCCTCCTGGAGTTCCTGGACGCCTTGTAGGTCTCTTAGGACGTTTCCCTTTTGGCGGGCCACCRGGCCCTCCCGGTCCACCCGGACCACAAGGGCCTCCACATCCTCCGGGACCGCCTGGCCCTCCAGGGCCGCCAGGACCTCCAGGGCCTCCTGGTTTCCCTGGCGCTTTAGGTGGTTTTGTTGGCGCACCTTTGGGAGGTGCTTTAGGTCCACATGGTCCGCCTGGACCACCAGGTCCACCTGGCCCACCTGGACCTCCCGGCCCTCCTGGTCCTCCTGGACCTCCTGGTCCTCCTGGTCCACCAGGTCCGCTTGGACCTCCTGGACCATGTGGTTTTCCTGGAGGAGCTTTTGTTGGCTTAGATGGTTTTCCTTTTACAGGACCACCTGGCCCCCCTGGTCCTCCTGGTCCGCCTGGTCCTCCTGGTCCACCAGGGCCACCAGGGCCTCCCGGACCCCCAGGACGCCCAGGACCTCGTGGACCTCCGGGTTTGCAAGCTTTTGTCTTTTTACCGGGACGTTTTGCAGGTGGCCCGCCAGGCCCACCTGGCCCTCCTGGCCCTCCAGGACCACCAGGACCACCTGGTCCTCCTGGTCCTCCTGGCCCACATGGACTACCTGGTCCTTTTGGTTTGCCAGGTCTTGGTGTAGGCTTTACAGTTGGCTTGGTTGTATGTCCTTTTTTTGGTAACGCTGGTCCACCAGGTCCACCAGGTCCACCAGGTCCACCAGGTCCTCCCGGTCCACCCGGTCCACCTGGTCCTCCTGGTCCTCCTGGACCACCGGGCTTTCCTGGCTTCTTATTTTTTTTCTTATTGTTTGGCTTACGTTTGGGACCACCAGGACCTCCTGGACCGCCAGGACCGCCTGGACCACCAGGTCCTCTAGGGCCTCCTGGTCCACCTGGTCCGCCAGGACCACCGGGTCCATACGGCCCTCCAGGTCCACCTGGGCCTTTTATGCCTCCGGGACCTCCTGGTCCTCCTGGACCTCCAGGCGTGCCTAAATTGAGTTAAAACAAAATTTCCATAAAATAAATCATCTAATGATAAAACGATGGGCAATATCCACCCGTCACAGCGACAGGAAAGTTTTAGAATATGGCTTTCTAATTTTGAAAGATTGATTGATATTGGTCATTGGTTGACTCCAGTTTCTCGGGTCGCAAAGCCAAAATGAAGATGCTGCAAGACGTTTGATGGTTTTCGCTCATGYCCAAAACAGCTTAAATGTCAAAGTTTATATCTCGAGTAAATGAAATTGATCAAAGTTTTAACCTGGAAACATTACATTTAGTATTTACTAAAACTTGTTTCATATGGTTAAGCTTTGATCAGTTCCATTTGGCAGTTGCGACTAGAGAGAATGGACCTAGTGAAAGAACCAATGTCAAGTATGCATTAAACCAGTTAGRTTGGATTCTAAAATCAGAAACCTTTGCACACGATTCTTACGCAYGGACATACCCGGARGTATAAGTTAAACGGTTTTTATGTCCTCTCACAAGATATCCCAGCATACTTATTTCCTCTGCATATTTTTAATTAGACTTATTGAATGTTGTATTTAAAAAAAACAGTGTTCTTGTATGTATTCTACCTGGTTTTTTAGTTGGTTTAGATGGTTTAGATGGTTTTCCTGGTTTTTCTTTTTTAGGACCTCCTGGTCCTCCAGGTCCTCCAGGTCCTCCTGGTCCACCTGGTCCACCCGGTCCACCCGGTCCTCCGGGTCCRCCAGGTCCTCCAGGTCCTCCAATTCCTCCTGGTTTTCCWGGAGGTCTTATTGTAGGTTTTCCTGTAGGTTTACCTTAAAACAAAGACTATTATGAAAAAAAGCTATACAATTATCGTCGTAGTGTAATTTCATCTTAATTACCTCCAGGTCCTCCTGGTGTCTTCGGCGTTGTCTTACTGCAGAAACAGGGTTCCATTTTCGATGCCGACAAATGGCCACCAGCACCTAGAAAATAGATCCGTCGATTCGWAACTCATTATTTATTACTCTCGGTTCTGCATYACAATGCTCTGCATTTCGAATGTAGATGTAAAGTTTATATATGAATTTCCAATGACAATTTAATCACAACCGCAAAAACTCTTACCAAGACAAATGTGTTTTTTGAGGTCATTGCTTATGTGCTGTAGCTGTTTCCAGTCAGAGGTAAAGACATGCTCATTGACCTTTTTGGAGGCTATCCTATCCAACTCTTTGGCATTAAAATAACGTCCAACRCCAACACTGAATAGTTTTAAACCTTTTTGCCGGAGTTTTTTGGCCACGCTGCCAACACCASCATCTCTGGAGGCTCCATCTGTAATCACAACTATAACWCGCTGAGCACCAACACGGCGATTTGACTTGAAGAAAGTTTTGTAAGCTTCTCTAAGGGCATTTGCTGTGCGCGCACCAGTTCTTGGATATCTCATTGGCCGGTTGAAGGCTTTAAAGAGCCTCTTGTTGTTGGAATAAGCACGAAAACCAAACARTGGGTAGGATTTTGTACCATAAACCATCAATGCCACACGGGTATTGGTCTTGGAGACCACAAACTTTGTTGTTAAGTCTCGTGCAAAATTAATGACCCTTCGGAAGTTGCCAACCCCATATCTCTCTACACTGGATGAACCATCGATTACAAAAACGAGATCAATGCGCGCTGAACAGGCTGAAATGAGAAAATTGGAAGTTTAACTTTTGAATTTTTTTTTCGAATTCTTTTTTATTTCAAGAACGTACCTGTTGCTTTAGTTGGTTTTACTGAAAAMAAGAAGAGAAACATAAATACATCATACGTAACATATGGTAATCAAAATACACAAAATAGAATTCTAAAGCCAACTTATCTACAGAAGGGTGGTGATTGTGATTTTTTTGTCAGCGGTATCGATCAAGATACGGAAACAGCAAGTACACAATGAAATGTGATAAAAATAATACACTACAACAATCTTGTCACATAGAGAAATAAGACACTCATTGCGAGACGACAAAAGAAAATTTAATGCTTTTGATGGCAAAKTATTAATCTCAATGTGCCCTCGGCCCGTATGAACTCGAAACAAGTACCATTTTTTTAATGTGGCTCTATAATCAGTCAATAAAGTGACATTAAACAACATCTTACCGCAAGGAGGGCAGAAGATGCTTTTTTTAGAAGAAGCTGGCACGTCATATTTTCCAAACAAAGGGTTACTAGGATTTGACAAATCACCAAACTCGGGCTTTTTTTGTGATTCATCGCCTTCATAAAGCTCTTCGTGKTGCTCTTCATGAAGTCCGKCCAGATCCTTTTCAGCCTCAGCRTCAAGAGAATTTTCCTCCTCTACAGCTTGCTTYTCAACTTCGTCAGTATAATCAGTGTGKTTTGCTACTGACGGGGCTAATGTCTGGTTAATCTGCTGTTGATTCTGATTGTATGACTGGGAAGSTGCATACACTGGTGGAGCTTCAGGCTGCAARCCACCAAACGATTGATTAGCGGGATGTGTTTCAGCAATATCTGCCTTACTTTGAGGATTTGCAACCTTTGGTTCAGCTTTTACTGGCTGCAAGTCAGAAAAAGAATATTAGATGTGCATTCAGTGCGAGAAATGAATCTTGTTTTTATTGAACCCTACCTCYGGAGCAAATGCAGCACTGGCCAGCTCTGTTGCTGTGTTGATCAAAGGTTGACATGGAGGCAAGGCTACCGAAATGAAAAGTGGTCAATGAAAGCAATTCTCGTATTCTGTTCTTAGTAAATTGTATGCTAATTCTGTGATACGCTGGCTAAAGCGACAGTCATCCGATTAGGATTGATCTCCAGATGTTCCAGATTTGGTTGACTGTTTCATTGTCATGGAACATTCGGTTTAGTTTGTTGGTCAAAACTTTCTGCACGCTGCATTTGGTTTTTGAATGGTTCTTTGAGTTCAATTGAATTCAGTRATAGGTTAGATCTCACTTATCTCTGAGATTCTCTTTTACGAAGCTTTGAAAAACTTCTGAGTGAATGATAATCTTACGACATAACACTGGAAAAAATCGCGCGCTTTAAAGGTTGTAAATTTGATGTAAATATGATGTAAGTGTCCAAAATTGTGTAAATTTGATGTAAATGATTACCATTAAATKTACAGAATTTTGGACACTTACATCATATTTACATCAAATTTATARTCTTAAAGCGCACGATTTTTCCAGTGTAACTGAAAACGTCTGCCAACTCCTCGTACAAGACATGGCGAAATCTTTCGATGCCTACTTTCGCAAGATAAAGATATTAAAAACCACACTTACTTGGACAAAAAGTCTTTGGTGGACAGCAGTTTSCACTTGGCTCAATACGGGCTGATTTAAAAATACAGTTCATTGTGTTAAGTTTGCTAATATTTTAATACTTKCGAACTTTGTCAGCTTACCAATAGTCTGTCTTTTAACCAACTCATCGGTTTCATCCTCACGTTCAAGCTCAGGCATAGTTTCCTCGGGATCTTCAAACAATCCACTGCTAGTCTCGGTATTGCTTTCCTCATCTTTGACATGCTGGAATGGTTCAGTAACTGTCGCATCAGAGGACTCGTCAGTACTTTTCGCCAAATCCTCTGCTGTCTTTTCAGCTTCTGGGGACTTGGTCTGCTTGGAATCATTGTTTAATTCCTCGGTAGGCACAGCGTTCTTTTCCTCTTGAGACTCAACGTTACTATTTTCTGTTGAATCGTCTGCTGGTGTCTCTGTTTCCTTTTCAGGTTCTGGGGACTTGAGCTGCTTTGAATCATTGTTAAATTCCTCGGTAGGCACAGCGTTCTTTTCCTCTTGAGACTCAACGTTACTATTTTCTGTTGAATCGTCTGCTGGTGTCTCTGTTGCCTTTTCAGGTTCTGGAGACTTGACCTGCTTTGAATCATTGTTTAATTCCTCGGTAGGTGCACTGCCMTTTTCCCCTTGAGGTTCAACGTTGCTATTTTCTGTTGAATCGTCTGCTGTCGTCTCTGCCGTCTTTTTAGGTTCTGGAGACTTGACCTGCTTGCGATCATTGTTTAATTCCTCGGTAGGCAAAGCGTCCTTTTCCTCTTGAGGCTCAACG